AGCCCATGTCTAATGGACTGCCCTGAGCCACAGGCAAAGGAGGGGGCAATGAATGCAGGAACGAACCCCCTTCTCACATCTCAAGGGCTGCAGGAGGTGGGGTCCAGCAGAGGGAATCCATGAGGAAGCCAACAGAAGGGTCAGAGACAGCTATCTTCCTCTCTAGGGAAGCCCCCAGATATCAGCGAGCCAAGATATCCCTCCCTTCCTTGCTCCTGCCCCCACTTCCCACGGGAGCTGAAGGCACAGCCTACAGGCTGGGTGCAGAAGCCCACCTCATTCGCTTCCTGGAAGGCAGTCAGCTGCCACCACAGGCCTAACTGCGAGGGAGAGAGGAGAATGCTCATCATTGGACAATTTCTGTTCAAATACCAGATATTTGGGGATGTACAGATTCATAGAATTGTAATTTATTTAAAAGAGAGTAGAAAAGTCTTGGGACCAATCTATGTTTTTTCTCAGGGCCAGAAAAATATTATCCTCACTGAACAAATTTTAAAGGAAAGTGAGACAGAAAAACGTGTTTTCCTCATACTGAAAATCGCACCTGTTTAATATAGTGGTTCCTCCAAAATAAGTAATAATACCACTACATGTTTGAAAAGTTGTGAACAACCCTAGTTAGAAGGTTGATGCAACGAAAAAACAAACGCTTTTCTTGTGGCCAATATGATATTGTTCATCACGCAACTTTTTCAGATCAAAGGTGAATTTAATGTGTCTCTAATTACCTTTTTCAAAGGTTTAAGTTTATTAAGTAAAAGAACAACAAATACTTAAGAGCAAGCCTTTCCACTTTGAATGTTATATTAAAAACAGCCAACCAATATCACAAACGACTTCTATAATAATGAGGCAAAATAAACCATGGAAGAGTAGAGATATTAAAGAAATTTTGTCAGAATCCTCCCTATGTCATAAAATTTGTTCTTAAGGTGATGTTCTGGAACCCAGCAGTTAGACCCTGGAAAGGATCCTAGTCAGAGCTACAGAGAGGTGCTTTGACAGAGAGGAGTCAACAGTCCCACAGTTTCTACACTGTATCTGCTATCACAGGACAGACAGGTGATGGAGCTCACTTAGGAAGCGGGAAAATCCTATAGTCCAGGATATTGCTGCTTCCTGATCAAATAGGCTAACTTAATGAGGAGAAGAAACGCTGCAATCATCTTAACGATTCCTGAAAGGAACGAGCAGACCACAACACAACGCTGTCTGTCTGCAATGAATGAAGCATCTGAGGAAAGACTTCTCCTTAGGGAGAAGGGCCATACCCCCAGGAAGGGCCTGGACAGCATCCCTCTGGATTCACTGAGTAAAAACTGGCCAGTGAAGAAAGGAATAGAAGGTCAATGTCCCTAGTGTCCTTAGTGGTTGTCAATTTCCCACATACGAAGCTATAGGAATCTGCGTATGGATCTCCATATGGTTTAAACACTAAGCATGTTTATGCCTATGCTCATCATTGGGTGTCAGCTGACAATTCACAGAGGAGTTGGAGCCAAAAAATACTATGAAAATAAGATCAAACTTAGAAGTTATTTGATATTATTTAAAATCAGATGTTAATAGTTAAATATTATCAGTTTAATGTGAACGATAGCAAGTTATGAATAAACCACAAGGGTATCCCACATATCTAGTGGTCTGACAAGACAGGTGCAGACATCTTCTCAACAACACTAGGGAAAAAGGCCCGAGTAACTCAGAATAGGAAGCCCAAAGCCCACCTACTTTACTGCATCTTTCAAGTCTGCTGACTGGACGTTAACACTCACATTTGTCAGCTGGAGATGCTCATGCCTGGCCCAGTGTTTCCTTTCATGAAGAGAAGCTCTGCCAGTTGTGACTCTCCTGGCCCCCAGTGGGGTGACCTATTCCACTCGACAGTGTGGGAGGTGACCAGGGCAGGCTGGCTCAGAGCTGCCCTTCGCTGGCCCCTCATGGAGCCGAGGCGGCCCTGCTCCTCCCGACCGTGCTCAGGCCCTGCCCACCCGTGTGCCCATGGGGACACGGGCAAGTCAGTCTAACTGTGGGCGCGGTGGTCAGAGGCAGCTCCTCCCAGGAGAGCCATGTCCTGTCGTGTCTGCTGGATCACTCAGGGAACTGGTGTCTGGGCTCCCATAGGCCTTACCCCACGGTCTTATTTCTCAATTGATTAAGAATTAGACATGAAAGTGAGTGTTCTTAGGGAATCCCCCCAAAAGACCATGAAAGCCCTGAGCAAATTTGAACAGGTGGGTATTGGAAGCAGCAGGGAGGGAACGGCAGCGACCGAGGGGAGGAGCTGGCAAGCAGGTGACCGACCCAGGGAGCGTGGAGGCAGCTGGCGGTCTGTCAGGGTGGGGAGAACAGGGTGAGGCCAGAAAGAGCACAACTGTGCTGGCCTTACAGTGGATTCTAATGTCTTACAATGATCACATTCTGATACAAAGTTAAAAGATATATAATATCCTTTGCTTTAGGAGTCAGAAAAGTCTCAGAAAATAGTTAAAACACTAAAACTCTGATTATTATAGAGATTCTCAAAGGGAAGAGCATTGGAAGGGGGACTGAAGAAGCAGGCTGTGGTCCACGCATCCCAATTTCCTAGAGCCTTTGTTTCTTCAACAAGAAAATGTGTCTTTTTAGCTGTTCAACAGGATTTCTTCTGAAGGTAATTAATATGCATACACTTTGAGAACAATGAAGTTTTAAACAAATAGAAGGCATTATATTATTATCATTATTCCTTTTACCGAGTTGGACCAAATCATTCTCAACTAAGCCTCATAAATAAAGTTTGAGTGTGTTTCAATTTCTGCACTAAATGTGGCCCTGGAATAAAAGCTGCCTGGCCAGTTAGTCCCCAGCCTGCGGCATCAATGCAGGCAGCCTGCACAGAAATCACGACCATGGCAGCCAACAGGCTGGTAGAGGTCCGCTCATTACCCTTACTGACTCAACTTCGGCCAGGCAATCTTGGCCACCACTTTTGCTCATCTTAATTAACTAATCTTCAGCTTCTCCTGCATTATATGCCAAGATTTTCATCTAGAAGTGACCTATTTGGAATCTAGGTAGAAAAAATAGGATCTTTTTAAATCCAGGAAATGAATACAGCATTACAAGAACAAATATTTCCTCTGCTTCAATTTCACTTGTTTTCCCTTTATAACTTGTTAGTGTATATCTTATTCATATTTATTCTCTCATGCAAAATATACAAAAACAATAATGTGGAAAATATTTCCCATCAACATCGAGTGTTTGCTGAACTTAACCATGGGGATATATATTTTTTATATAATATTTTTTGACATGATTACAACGTTTCAAAAAAATTAAGGATTCATAGGCAATGAAAGCCCATTCTAAGTTTATCCAAATTTTGAGACCTTTCTGTGACTTAGGAAATGGGTCTGTAAATCTGAAAAACCTTAAGCTTTCCATGAATTTCAATGAGTTAGAAATATTGCAAACATAACCTTTCTTTGCATTATTTCGGGATTTAAATTCAGGTTTGGGTGACCCATGGGAGAAATAGAAAGGAAAAAATGGGAGTTACAATTCAAATAAGAATACTGTCTCTCAGAAGTTAAACATATAATACATTAATTCACTTCTAATTTCCCACTAATACCTATCCTTATTCATTTACTTAGTAAAGAATTTTAAAAGATGAGACTAACATCATAAATGTACACATTGACACAGTGGCAATATTCCCCCTGAAAGGGAAAGAATGTGTTTTCCAAGGTTTATGTTTGTATTTTTTTCTATGTGTGTGTTTAGTCAAAAATCTAGACTAGGCACAAGTTTTTTCACATATATAAATTTAAGGCTCTGTAAGATTTAAATGTCAAATGGAAATTTTCTAAAAGTTTCTGTGTGCAGCTAGATTTATATATTAATTTTTTCAGTCTACTTCAGCAGATCAGCCAATAGTTTATACAAGATTAATTTGGTAGATTTATCATATTAGTATCATTCTGTGAATATTCTTCATATTTAAAAGAAAATCACAAATTAATTGATAATAAGAAATAATAAAATCAAGAATCCTCCCCATATTAAATACTAAGGTATATCTGCTAAAATACAGGTGATGATACACCTCAAATGACAGACTCTATATGGAATATGCTGATCAATGTGCTGTGGGATTTTATATGTGTATATTTTAACGAGAATTTTAGTATCTCTTTGTCCTTGAAATCTTCTGAGATGTCTATATTTATTTAAAAACTTTCCCATTAATACGTGTTAGTTCTAATGTTTTCCAAGAAACTTCTAAAGGCAGTAATTTTCAGGAATTTGTTGAAGAAGTCTATATGGACAACAAAGAAATTCTCAAAAGGTTTTATTCAAAGACAAGCATACGTGTGAAGACTTCTGGATGCAATTTTGCTTTCAATGGCTTGCTCAAGGTCATTATTAGCGACAAGAATACTAACGAAGTTTTCCATTGATAAGATGCTACAGAGATCTATAATCTTTAGATGATCAAATAGCTCTGAAAAGCTACTGCTTAAAGATGATTAAGGCTATGAGTCAAAATGATTACCATAGAGACCCTTTGTCGATAATCCACAAAATAGGAGAAGAAAACAGAAAGAATTACCATCCGAAAAAAATCATCAAATTGGTTCTGAGAAAGACATGGGCTTCTCAACAAACTTAAATGCTTTAGCTATTCTTGGACTGCCTTCATCCTAGATTTATAAATTTTTTTATACTTCTTGGTACTCCAAGAGCCATATATATATACACGAGAGACGATTTGATTAATTCATCAGTGTGTGTGTGTGTGTGTGTGTGTGTGTGTGTGTGTGGAGGAGGGGATTAAATCTCTCAAAAATAGTCAATAAAACTCTCAAGTAAGATCACCTTGTTAAAATAAAATGTTGTAATGGTGGTTTAACTTATGGGTCAGTCTGCACTATGAAGCATCCTTAAGAGTGAGCCTTTTAAGTTGGCCATGAAGGAGTAACACTGAGGACCAGGGTCCATCAACCTACCTGCTATGCTCGTCTTGACCGTGGAGGCAGCAATTCATGGTATTCACCAAAAAGCTAAACAAACGACTGTACAGGGACTTGGCCAGGAGATCCCGGTAAAATTCAGCCATCTCTATAGTATGTCGCCGAATGATTGTGTCTCCTAAAATAGTAGAAAGGAGAGGCGGCATAAGAACAAGGGTGCCTTCATTTGGAAGCAAATGAAACTACATCTTCTACTTATCCCTCATACCTCCGTATACATCAAAAGATGTTAAAAAATATATTATGGCGCTAATAAATGAGGTCTCTGTTAGTCATCACATAACATGTTTCTGTAAAATGAGTGTCGTATACATTGCCATCTTATTTGCTACAAATGTTGACCACAGCTTTTGACCTCGATGCAGGCTGTGTAATTTCCTTTCAGTTAGGGAGCCGATTCTTTGCAGGCTCCTCCTAATAAGTGTTCTGATAACAGCTCACTGGCTTGGATATTGAATCATCCCCAAGGCATTGGGTAAACCTGGCCATCTGGAAAATTAGTCATATTTTAAATATTTTCAAGGAAATGATTTAGCTAACCAAAATGCGAGTCAGGAGTTTGGGAACAAGATTGAGCCCTAAGGTGGAAATTTTTATGTCATTCTCAAAGAGATGGTGATTGAATTCTTGAATGATAAGATTTTTAGAAGAGAATAGACTAGAGAAGAAACCAAGAAAAAAAAAAAAAAACAAGTGAGGATGATTTGGAGTTGAGCCTATGACAGCATTTATGCTAGAGAGTCAAGAGGAAATGGGAAACTGCTATTCATATTCTGTGGCACTGGCTGACCTGGCCAACCATTGCAACTCAGGCTGAGCAAGGAGTCAAGTTATAGGATGATGAGTGTGTGAAATGAGGGTCGAGTAAGCTGTCCTTCAGTGGAGGTACAGGTCAGGAAGAACCACTTCTGAGACAGGCTGAGAGAAAAGGAAAAAACTGAAGCAGCAGGTAATGAAGAGTCAGGGAGCTATAAGTTCAAGGCCATCTGGATCAATACAGGGTGGCAGTGAAAGCAGGTGCGCCGTCTATGATATTATGAATTGAGGTCTCTAGAGTGAACATGATCGAAGGGTTTTGATGGGTCACCAACATGGCGGATGAGGAAGCAGAGCAGGACAGGGTAAACAAAAAGACCCCCATGGATTAAATTACAGGTATTAATGGTGAGTTCAATCTTTCTTTAAAAAGTCATGATAAATCATAATGCATTTGGAGAACCTCAAGAAACTTAATGTGGTTGGATGCAAGGGCAGTGGTAGGAAAATGGCTAAGAATGAAGCAGAAAAGTTAGTTATGGCCTGAATATTAATAAAGGACCCCTTATGTGACCCTGAAGGGATGAGATTTACTCTAAAGAAGTTGGAGTATCTTTGAAAGATCGTTATCCATGGATGAAAATCACATTTGCACTCAGAAAGATTATTCCTCAAGCAGTGTTGTAAAAAGGTAAAATGAGATAAGGCCAGACAAAAGATTACCAAGGATGTTCTTGCCATAATCTAAGGGAGGAATGATAAATTAAGGCAGTGGCAATGGAAATGAAGAGAAGGCAGTAAGAATCAGAGAGAGGAATGGAGGAGAGCTGACATGTGTCTGATGTACTCAGTGGAGGAGAAGCAAGAGGCGTCAAGAATGACTTTGGGGGCTGGCCTGGTGGCATAGGGGTTAAGCTCACGTACTCCGCTTCGGCAGCCCAGGGTTCCCCGGTTCAGATCCACAGCATGGACTTATGCACTGCTTATGAAACCATGCTGTGGCAGGCATGCCACATGTAAAGTGGAGGAAGATGGGCACAGATGTTAGCTCAGGGCCCATCTTCCTCAAAAAAAAAAAAAAAAAAAGAATGACTTTTAGGCAGCCGAGTGGAGATAATCAGGGATTCATGAAGTCTGGTCACAGAAGAGAAGTCTAAACATGAGGCAGAAATGCTAAGCCACGCACCTAAATACCTGCAAGTAGGTCCAACAGGAACATAGGCAAGAACAGTGGTGATGGAGAGAAGAAAGATCAGATGGACAGTGTGTCCTCAAAATCACAGTAACGAAGAAGGTTGGTGAGGCAGTGATTTAAGGAGAATAACCAAACAGCACGGAGGAAAACCACTCTCCTTGCCCAGTGAACAGAGATGTGTATAACTTAGGATTCACCTCGGGCGCCAGATAGCATTAGATTCTAATTCCAAACATGCCATTTACTAGCGATCTGACATTCAAAGTTACTTAACCTCTTTGAAACTTAGTTTTCTCATTTGTTACAATGGAAATAGTTATGCCAACTTCATAGCGATTTGTAAGAATTTAAAAATTCCAACATTTATGCACTTGGCACAATTCCCATCAGTTCATAAGTGCTCAATAAACGGAAGCTATTACTATGACTGATGAGGCAGAGGGAAAAGGACGCTTTTCATTGGGGAGGGCAGCATGGCGCCACATAGGCAATGGAACCAACGTTTTAATTGAATAAATCCTCTTGGATTGATGACTTTATTTGTCTAAAATGAGTGATTAGCTAGAAAAGGTGACCAGTTAATCAAAATGGTCTCTATAGAGTGTAAAGAGTTTACAGTACAGAGTCATATCAAGTAACCAAATAGGTTCATAATGCTTTTCTCATTTGGCATCCAATTCGTAGAACCAGTTTCTCTAGGTGGGGAAAGGCAAGGTTATATTTACTTTCCATATTTCAAAGAAGACCACAATTGCACAAAGATGAAACTCAGAGTATAGAAACACTTACCTTTAAAATATTGGATATCAGTTGTCAAAGCAGACACCAATTCATCAGTTGATACTTGTAACCATCCAGCCACTAAATTTAAAGCAGCATTGAAAATGTAAAGTTAGTACCTATTTTTTGACAGCGAGAACACTGTAGTTTATGGTTATAATGTATAAGTTTATATAGACTCATTAGAAAATGTGTGTATTAAAGAAAACTAAACGACCACCTTAATTGTCCAATTCGACTAGAAAAACAGCTTATAGTCATTAAAATGTTAATGAGCTCGTGGGGCTCCTGCATTAAGTAACAAGAGGATTATTTTTCCCTCCTTGCCCTCACACATGGCCCTGAATGTTTTTTCCCAGTCCTTTGTTAAATTACTTTGATATGAGGTGAAGATACACTGGTCATTGACAATCTGTGATTTTAAGGTACTTTGAAAAAATCTGGTAGTGACTAACAAAACAACTTCAAAGAAGAGAGAGATTTTTGGCAAGATCTTTGAAGGGAAGTAATTACATTCTGTTTCAAACGTTCAGCTATTAACATGCCCCCAAAATATACTGGATGGCAGGGGTGGGGGTAGAGAACACTCAGAACAGTGCAAATAAACCCAAGGATGTGCTGAAGAATCAGTGCTGTCAATGCGGTGGGCAGCATGAGAGCATAAATGACATCTTGTTATTCATTCCCATAACCATTTGTAAGAAAGAAAGAAGAACAAATTGGATACAGTCCTCTTTTCGCCACCGCCCTCGCTGATTTCTACGGTGGAAGTTTATTCCACCTGGCTTTTCTGTACTGTGTCTCCATCTACTGGCACGTCTGCAAAACTGCACATCCGTGAGATGAATGTTAGAAGGTCTGTTCCACTGACCTTGTTCCAGAAGCTGGAGGTCAGAGACGAACGCGGAGTCGGCCTCAGTCAGAGAGGTGAACCGAATGTCTCCGATGTGTAATATGGCTGCTAGAATCACAAACAGATTCTCCACCTCCTACACATTTTACAAATAGAGAAAAGGACTAAGATTGCTTACAAGCAAGATTAAAAGACAAATCCTTTAAAAACCTAAAAGGAGGTTAAAAAACTGATGTGGAGCCTAGTAGTGAGGCTGTGATTTTTCAGATCCCAAATGTTCAAAAAGAGAACTACCAATCTCCAGCTCAAAATCAAAATCTCATAATTCAATGCACACTTCCTCTAAATCAATTGTTCTGTTCCTTAAACAAAAGAATATAAGGAAGTGATGCTCTGATAGAAATTACTAGTTTCTAGATAAGCATCATAATGAAAAATGAGTCATTGTGTGATGATGGTCTGACTGCCTGGATGTCACCTGCGAGGTCAGACTTCACGTGTGTCCTCCCAGGCGTGATACAGAACTGCAAATGGAAGCTCCTCACAGCCACCGTGTCTGCCTCACTAGAGAATGTATGTGATGGTTTCCATCTTCCAGTTATCTCTCTCATGAGATAAACCCAAGCTATGATTATAGAATTTTTCACTTCTGCTGACAAATTAAGGGAGGCAGAATAGAAACAACTATGCCCAGATAAACAAGATGCTAACTACTTTTTAAAGGTATTTTAAGGAAAACAGAAAAAATAGCTATTGGTAAGAGCTATATTTGAGAAAAAGTAGCAGGAAGTATGAGGATGTTTGCTGAAGGGATATTGGAGAATCTGGAATGCTGCATAAAGAAAGAAATTAGAAGCTTCTGCACAGCAAAGGAAACCATCAACAAAACGATAAGACAGCCCACCAACTTGGAGAAAGTATTTGAAAATCATATATCCAACAAGGGGCTAATTTCCAAAATATATAAAGAACTCATACAACTCAACAACAAAAAGTTGAACATCCCAATCAAAAAGTGGGCACAAGGGATGAACAGACATTTTCCCAAAGAAGATACAGAGATGGCCAACAGGCACGTGAAAAGATGTTCAACATCACTATTAGGGAAATGCAAATCAAAACTACAATGAGATATCACCTCATACCCATCAGAATGGCTATAATTAACACGACAAGAAATAACAAAATTTGGAGAGGTTGTAAAGAAAAGGGAACCCACATACACTGTTGGTGGGAATGAAAACTGGTATAGCCACTATGAAAACAGTATGAAGACTTCTCAAAAAATTAAAAATACAAATACCATATGACCCATCTATTCTGCTACTGGGTATTTATCCAAAGAACATGAAATCAATAATTCAAAAAGATACAGGCATCCCTTTGTTCATTGCTGCATTATTCACAATAGCAAAGATGTGGAAGCAACCCAAGTGCCCATCAACAGATGAATGGATAAAGATGTGGTGTGTACACACACACACACAATGTATATATACAATATACAATACAATATATATATGTGTGTATATATGTGTGTGTATATATACACACACACACACACAATGGAATACTACTCAGCCATAAAAAAAGACAACATTGTGCCATTTGTGACAACATGGATGGACCTTGAAGGTATTATGCTAAGCAAAATAAGTCAGATGGAGAAAGACAAATACCATAGGATTTCACTCATATGTGGAAGATAGACAAAAAAACACACACATTTGGTCTCCCATAGGTAGAACAGATCGGTTATTACCAGAGGGGAAGGGGTTCGGGGGAGGGTGAAAGGGGTAAAGGGGCACACATATATGGCGACAGATGAAAACTAGACTATTGGTGGTGAACATGATGCAATCTACACAGGAACTGATATATAATAATGTACACCTGAAATTTACAAGCCAAATTTATAAGCTAATATGACCTTAGGAAAATACTTTTTAAAAAAGAAAGAAATTAGATCTTAAATTTAGTTTTGGACAGTCATTTTGTGGCAAGAAAGAAAGTCAAGAAAAAGTTGTAAGTTAAAAAATGTACTTCTCTAGAGTAACAAATATTTAGTGTGATGATATCAGTAGTAAAATTGATTACGTTTAATATGGGGCAAGTGACATAACCTTTTAAATTCTCACTTTCCTAATCCATAATTTGGGAATAAAAAGTTCCTGCCTGTGGAGTTTCACTGAGAACAACACTTATTTGCTTTATAAATATCCTGTTGAAACAATCTAGTCATTGGGACGTCCATGAATTTCCTGCAGAATCTCTAGTTTTCATCATGAGGTATGATTTTATTATCTTTAAAATGAGAGCATTGAAAAAGATGATCTCTAAGTAATTTCAGGTATAATATTCTATGATTTTGGCATTTCTTAAAAATGTTTTGGGTAACCCCTAAATCATAAATTAGTGCTTCAAATTTTCCTCATTTATGCTTGTTTGAATAACATTTTATCTCTTCCACTACTTGACAAGTTTTCCCCCTTTTAAATAAATCCAGTAACTCCTCATGAACTTTTCCAGCGTCCTGTGAGGTAGGCATAGGCACTTCTGGATACACAGAGGGGGACTTGGTTCCATTCTCAAGGATCTTACAGTGCAGTGTGGACACAGAACAGTGAAAACTAGCCATCATGTGAATTATAATGGGTGAATACCATGACAGAGGTGAAAATACCTTGCTCTGTGGGCAGAAGGCAGGGGCTGCTCTTCTGTGTCTCCTGAGAAACAATCTCCCACCATCTTGCTGGTGGTGGTGATGGGAGGGCAGCGGTGGAGGCACCTTAAAGACAGACCTCCCAGGACAACGATCACTTCCAGGTCTTGATTCAAGGGCCTCACCAGCCCAGAAATACCTTCCTTCCACTCTTATTGGACACGATCTACCCCTCCTGAACGGACTAGATTTCACCATCCAGTCACCCCAAAGGATCAAGATTAAGTGACGACCCCCACGTCTTTTGTTAGAATGCACATATTTCTTTCACCAAAAAGGCTGTTAGCTTCTCTATTAGATACCTTAGGTGGAAGATATACTTTGCTCACCCTGCCTTTCAGGTCAATTATGGATTTTTAAAACCCTGTTTCCAAGCAACTGGTCCTTTGGTAGAATGGTTCCTACCCAACGCTGTATCCCAGTTTCCTAAGGAAACAGAAATTTCAGGCATGGAGAAAGGGGGAAAAATGACAAAAAGGACAAGAATAGCAAGTGCAAAGACAGAAAAGTTCACATGGCTAAGTGTTAGTAAAAGACAAAAATTGGATAATCAGAACAAAGAAAAAAAGAAAGAAAGAAAACAAGATACCATATGATTGCACATTCCTAGAACTCCACTCTCAATGGGGCGAGGGTGGAGTGGAGCAAAATGCCCACATCTACGTCATTTAGGGTGAGTCCCCATTTTCTTACCCCTCCTGCCACCTTCCCATCCACTCCCACCCAGTTGCTGTCCCATTAGCTTTATCTACGTGGGCAAGGGAAAAAAGAAAGACCCAAATTCATCAACTTATTGGTTTAAGAAAAAGAAACAGAGCATATTGAAATCTTTGACTAAATCAGAGTTCCTGAACTACTGGTATACCACAGCTATCCACGTGACCTTATATTAATTGCTAATGAGCAACTGGCTGTAATTCAAAACGACACCATATGGAATGGGGGGAAGAGAGAATGCATAAGCAAAAGAGAGATTTGTGGGAATTCTGAGAGGTCTCAAGGCTTCGATCATTTCACGTCTCTTATTCACTGGATCTGTGCTGTTCAATTCAGTAACCACTGACCACACAAGACTATTTAAATTCAAATTAATTAAAATTAAGAAAAATTAAAAATCCATTTCTGCAGTCTCACTAACCACATTTCGAGTCCCCAGTAGCCACATGTTGCTAGTGGCTTTTATATCATACAGCACAGACCCTGAACATTTCTATGATCACAGAGATTTCTCCTGGACAGCAGAGGTTTAAATATTTTAAATTGTACTTTTTGGCCTCATAATGCTTGCAGGTATTTGGTGATTCTTTAAGGATAAAAAAAGCTTTATATTGTTCAGGAAGACGTTTTAATAAAGTGAGTAGATTACTTTTAAAAGTGATTCTTAGCAGTAAACAGTTCCTTCAGATTTGCCAGTCTTTCCTTGAGTTAGTCTATGTGAAGTTCTTTGATCTGTTTTGCTCACATGGTTCATTTTGGGCAAAGGTCTCCTTGACCAGCGTCTTGAAAACAGTGGCCTCTCCTCTTGTCCCTGTCTATTTGTCTTTGTAGTATCTGTGATCCTGAGCCCATGTTTCTGTCTGTCTCCCCCACTAGAATATAAACTCTAGGAGGCAGAGATTGGGGTTTATTCTCTGCTGAATCATGAGTGTTTGCAACAATTTCCAGAATTTAATAGCAACTCAGTAAATGTTTTTGAATGAGTAACTTTTATAAATTTGTAGAAGGTTGGTTTTCTCAGTGAAATGTTTACGATATGACTCACCAAGTTACTGAAGCCAACTACATTCAGAGCTTGTTTCAAAACAGTGAATTTTTCCCTGTTCAGAGAATGCTCTGCTGTTGACAGATCTTCTCGTAGGGTCTGGTTCAAATACCTGTTAGGATAACAAACACAAGGCATTATGGCTTGGCTTGTAGTCAAAATCCAGTGGTTAAAAATCACTTCAGCCGTATTTGGTCTCCAGAATAATGGAAATCACCTGGACATTGTGTACTCATGTGTTTATGAGGCTTTGGTACATAATGTCACGTGATGTTTCAGGAAGGAAAAAAAAAAAGTTCTTGTTGTACCAGAACATATTTATACTGTTTTACTTGGTTCTCACCTTAGCTGTACTCTTCCTACCGAAAGGAGAAACTCACAATGTTTTACATATTTCATACAGAAATTTGGCGGGTCCTATCATATGCTTTGAAATTAATATTTGTATTAAAGATTTTTAATTTAGAGTAATTTATTATTTCTTCTTGTCAATATCTTTTAATTATGAGGTGGTTGATTAATTCATTGATTTGTTCCTTACATTCAAACATGTAGGAATCACTTACCAAATACACAATACTGCAGCTGAGGATATAAAGGTACCAGACTCACCCTTGGAAGCTCAACAGGAACAAAATAACGTACCCAGGGGCAAAGACAAGAGAAGATGGGGCCAGAGTACACTATGGAAGTAGAATAGGAAAGATGCACGCTAGGTGTTTGTAAGAGTGCAGGAAGGGGACCGGACCCACGGTGGGTGATGAGCAAAGTCTGTGGGAGAGGAGAGGCATCTGTTCCAATACTTGACACTTAAGTAAGAATTTGCCAAGCAAATGCAGGACTTAATGGTGTCCCTGGAATAACTAGCAACACATAGAAAAGCACACAGGATTGAGTGTGCATGATGAGTATGGGGAACTCAGGTATGTCAGCAAAATTAGAGCCTAAGGTGAGAGGAGCAAAGATTGATGAAGTTGGAGAAGAAGCTAGAGTTTTTAATATCTTGCAAAAGAGAGTAATTTATGTCTTGGAAGTGATGGGCAGTCCTGATGGTGCTGAAACAAAGAAATGTCATGATCAGACTGCTGTTTCAGAAAGAACATTCTGGTAGCCCAATGAAAGATTATCGGGAAAGAGATGAGGCAACTCAGAGTGTGAGGTGATCCAGTGAGAGACCAGCAGTGGTGAAGAAAAGAGGAGGAGAGAGAGAGGCATCGAGGAGGAGGCCGAACTGGCAGGATGAGGGGACAGATTGAATACAGAGGGAAGAGAAAAGAGACACATTAATGATGCTTTTCAAGATTCTGTCTGGGGAAACAGGATGGATAGTAGGTTCATTCAATGACAGAACGATCTCAAGAGGGGGAATATGTTTTTTGAGAAAGAAAGTCTTAAATTTTACATTAGTCATGTTGACTTTGAATTACTTGTTAAAGTGGAGTTCCAAGAAATAATTGGCTATAACAATCTAAAATTCAGACAGACTAGAAAATAAGATCTGGAAGTCATCAACGTGCAGATGACTAAAACCATGTAAGTGGATGAGCTCACTCAAAAGGGGACTAAAATTTTAGGAGTGAAGACACAATTGAATGTTCAGGAAAGGGAGCAGGAAAATTAAAAGAAATCAGAGTCATCAAAACAAAGGAATAACGCATTTTTAAGATTGTAACAGAAAAGAGACCATAGAAAGAAGGAAACGGGTGGTGTGTGGGGTGGACACAGACTGCAGTTGGTGGCCTGGAAGTGGGCCTTCTTTCTCCTCAATCTTGCCCATGAAGGGCTGAGGTGAAGCAGCTGAGAGGCTGGATAGGGAGTGGGAGAGACTTCAGAATGCTTATATACTGAGGTAGAAGCACAGAAAGACTGGAGAAAAGACGAAAATGAAAGATGTGGGGGATTTTGAAGAGAAAGAAGTTGCTGAGGAAGGAAGAGGGCATGGAATTCAGTAGAGTGGAGGGCGCACCTCCCACTGTGAAGGTGCTAGATAAGGTCATACACATGGGTCCAAGGGCTGGGAGCCTCTGCGGGTTGGGGTAGAGGAACCACTGCTTTGTGGCTGCGGTTTTTCTAGGAGAGAAAGCAGTTGAGGTTTAGATGACTAGGTGACGTTGGCTTGAGGAAAGTCATAAGAATCTAAGATATTTTCCGTGGGGCGGAGACATGATCATCCAGCAGGGAGACATCAGAAGTTTAGCTGGCACTAGAGAGGCCCAGGTGGAGCTGGAGACCAGCTTATGCGGTGGTTTCTCTTTCACCAGAGCTCCTCCACTGCCTGAGGTGGGATGGGTGAGTTAGGATTTGGGGCAGTGGAAGAAATGGAAAAGGTCAAGGGCAATAATATTAGCAAGAGATTGGGTTATGAAGGTCAGAGGCCATTTTGCCTAAAATTTACAAAATTTTAGTGACTAAAAAGTCTTAATGATTATAACCACTCTCAATTCTTCTGGTTTTCATGGAAGTTTTCCATCCCTCTTCCTGATGTCATCTTTTCTTTCTTACTTACTTGATGATCATTACATAGGTTAGTATTCCATTGAGAGTGGCCAGTTAACATCTTGTAAAGAACAACTAGCTCCTGTTATCATTACAGAGTCAAATATGAAAAATACCACTGTTTCTTTTAGAATTGTTAAAAAGTTGTCAATTGATAAGTTCCCCTTATAGCCACCTCAACTATTTCTTTAAACCTCCCCATCCACCATTTTAGGTGTCTTTATGGTGGAGAATTTATAGCAGCTATGACCTGTTCTATAAGGGAACATGAATATAATAGCATTTTTTTCTTCAGTCAAATTCTGGGTAGAAGAAGCCATGTGAAATTAACCCTGGTAGTTGCAGACAGTGCTGTTAATTACGTAACAGTCCAGGAGGAAACCAATCAGAATAGAGGATTTTAAAGGGCAGTTTGTCTAATGGCAGGAATGGTGCTTTAAAACTGGTTGTGAGGGGGCCAGCCCGGTGGCGCAGCGGTTAAGTTCGCACGTTCTGCTTCAGTGGCCTGGGGTTCACCAGTTCAGATCTCAGGTGCGGACATGGCACCGCTTGGCAAAAGCCATGCTGTGGCAGGCGTCTCACGTATAAAGCAGAGGAAGATGGACACGGATGTTAGCTCAGGGCCAGTCTTCCTCAGCAAAAAGAGGAAGATTGGCAGTAGTTAGCTCAGGGCTAATCTTCCTCAAAAAAAAAAAAAAAAAAAAAAGATTGGTTGTGAGTATCTTCCTCTTTGCCGGAAAACTTGTTGGCATAAAGATGATCCAGAAAATAGAACTCATTACCTTGTATACAAATTTAAAATTTCTCCCAGTGTTCAATAGTGTCTAGGATGATTTCACTAGAAATATGGTTCTTATTTATCAGCCAAACTGTATCTTAAAATGGGAAGGTTAGTATCAGGAAAAAGAAGGCACTATAAGTTTACTTTTTGGCTTTTAAAAGTACTCATTTTCCCCTTGATATCATTTAATAATGAAACAGCACATGAGGACAGAGAAATACTTGAAAAATATACCTAGTAAAATGTTGAAACCAGAATCTGGAGACTTAGAGTTGAGTCCTATTCGACCCTTTCTGAAGAAATTTAAATCTTCATTTTATTATCTGTAAAATGTAGTAAAAATGGAGTAAAATCATTCTCCATCTCTAGCTTTTGGCAATTTTATGAGAATCGAATCAAGATACTGTATGTGGAATGCTTTCTACACTCAGGTTGCAGTGTACACATAGACTATGAGTGTTTCCTGGAAAGAATATGCCTGGCATCAATGGGGAGCTTGTAGTCAATGTGCTTTTTCATTAATGAGCCCTGGATCAAGTAACTAAGTCAAACGAAGTAAAGAAACATTTTGAGAAATTAAAACAATTATAACAAATGCTGTTAACAACGCAGAATGTCTTAAACTATAAAATATGCTTTCCTGTTCTCAAAGTAATAAACAGCTAAAAGACAACATCAGGGAGGGAGGAGGATGGAAGGGTGATTAGGCACAGGTGTGTGGTGATGGACAGTAATTAGTCCTTAGTTGTGAACATGATGTAATTTACACAGAAATTGAAATAAATAAAGATGTACACTTGAAATTTATATAATATTATAAACCAATGTTACTGCAATAAAACAAAAAAAAAAAACCATCACACACAAAAAAAGAAAAGAAAAGATCATAGCTCTTTTACACTTGAAAATAGGTAAGAATGATTGTGGGCCATCGGTTATAGACTTCCCCGCAGACTAGCTAAAACTCCACTGATGTTGTCCCATAATCTCAGAACAGTGCCAGAAAACCATGCTAGATGAATCGGTACAAAGGTTTCATCTGACTGACTTTCCAACTTTGTGACCTATTAATGGTCCCACAATTCCCAGTAGTCAAATCTTAGAACTCAATATTCAACATCTTTTATATCATCTCTTTTACGACTCAAAATCATATACTTAAAGCTCAAACAATCTGTTTATTTAATCGTCTTCTTTTAACTCATGCATAACTTGGAACAGTAACACTTGGCAACATATAGATATCTCAATGTGCAGAGTGAGAAACGTCAGAGACTGTCATTTGTCAAAACAAGAATTATTACTCATTTATTTTTAAAAGATTGGCAGATCAAGGGAATTCTCTGGATGTTGTTTCTACCACAGAGTAAAAGACTATAACCTGTAGGCTGTATAATGTTAAAAGTTATAGATGAATGAATACTATTTGACTAATTCTACCCAAAGGGAAAGGCGGTGGGAACTAACATCATGTGTCAAATCCTCGACTGGCTGTTTCAGAGGCACTTCACATGGATCGTGAGAAGATTGCGCCCGTCTAAGGGATAGGGGAACTGAAGCTTGTTTAAGGTCTCCAAGCCAGGAATCCACCCACCAACACTCTCTGTCCTCACCCCCCAGCGCTGCTCAAGCTCAGTTACAAGTTTCCTGCAGGGGAGATGGGAGGGGGAGGAAGAGCGAACAGCGTCCCCAGGCTTCTTCCTAGAGTTAAAAATGTTGCTTGAAAATGTCAGGGAGGACATAAAGTGGTGGAATTATTATTAAACATAGATCTATTTTACACAGAATGCAAAGTCTCATGAAGTTTTAAGATTTCATAGGCTGTTTTACTATTA